AATGCTCTCAGCAAAATGAAATATCCTGTAACAAAATATATTAAAAAATACATGAAGAAACATCCTTTAGGTTATCTCTCAGTGGGATTCCTAAAATGACCAAAACTGAATTAAGACAGCTTTGCCCAGGCAAGCACATCTAACTTACTGTAGCTCTACAAAATAACTGGAACTTCTTTTCTCTGAAACTGACTGAAATTTTATCCAAAACAGCTTAGTACACTTGATACAAAGTGAGGAACTAATTGTATTTTACATTAGTCCTATTGATGCTCTTTGGGATTTTCTTTTCCAACAGATGTGGGATCACTGCTGAAACCAGTGTCATTCTTGGCATTGACTGCTGTTTGGATTTTACCCTATTTCAGGTGTTCCAAATAAGTTTTAACATGTCTTTAACTAGTGTTAGTATACTGTTGTAGGAATTTACTTAGAACTGTCTATTAGCAGTAAAGGCAGCATTCCCTGTGACAAAGAACTAATAAAAAGACCCACAGTTTAAGAATGCATCATAAAATCTAATGCCTGATCATCAGATTTATGATCCACTGAGTAAATTCACTGGGCATAGCTTCTGTATAAGTCAGAGACATTGGCTGAGATCAAAACCAAAGAGATTTTAATTAAAGGAACATTTGGAATCTAGGATCCTTAGCAACGCATTCCTAATCTAAATCTAATTACATGTCTGTAATTGCAAAAGATTGCTTTGTAAACTTTTCTAAGTGATAGGAAATGAGTAATAGTGAAATTCAGTATATATAGTATATGATGATCAAGTATTCCCCATTCTGGTAGTCCTGAGCTGTGTCATCACGGAGAAACATGATGAGAATGTACCATTTTTAAAAGCAGAATCAGACAGCTATATTCATTAGTACCCAAGCAATCACATTTACTCCTCATGCCTGTTTCACATAGTCTATTTTTCTAAAATATTTCATTATTTAAGTTTGCCACTTCCATGTTGTTGCTTGACATTTTTGCATGGTAAAAGATGTATGGTATGCTACCACTTTAGAGTCATCCTAAAGACAAGTAGCCAAGTCAATTAACATGAGCATATAAAAGCCTGTATTGTCATGTCTTGATGATGAGACATCATTTGTTATTATTGTTTGTTTCATCTGCCAGCAGATGCCTTTTAGGAATATCACTATTCTGCCTTTGGCCAGTTGGCTATTGAGCTCTTAAGTAGGATCTACTACAGTATCTTCTTATGGCATTTCACAGTTCTGTGCATGCAGACAACATTACCATCCCAAGTGACGTTACAAGGGGTCAAGATATTTTAAGTAGTCTTTCCTAAATGAAAAAGCTAGTGAAAAAGAAACTGATTCTGCTAACTGGCAAACTTTCATTTGTATGTATCCTTCCTGAAAGCTCTCTTGGTTACTGTAAGAGCAATCTGTGATTTTTACCTTGTTGATTGAATTATGTATCCACCAAAAATGAAAGACAGTCAACTCAGAAAATCATTCTTTTAAAAAGTCATGAATCATGAACAGTATCTGTTAACTAGTGATTTTGTTGTCTTGATATATTGAGAATTTTTGTTCCTCCAGACCTTTTCAGATGTATTTTTTTAAAATCTCATTATCAGTATTATCCTGTATAATGATAAGCAGTATTCAGTGGCTCATATATCTTGTCACTGTATTTGTGCCAATGTGGCACTAATTGGGTATATCGGGTATTTAGTTCATGTTTTCATACTGGTAGTGTCTTTCTAATGGATACAACTTGAGTGAAAAAAGAAAGTTACTATTATCAAGATAAGATTTTTCCACTTAATAGACCATATAGTTAACCATGTTTATACTCCAGAAATTTTGTGTGTGTAAGTTGTTGTAAGCATATATTTTGCTTATGTATGAACTAATCTAATCTTGGCATTTTAAAAGGCCTTTCCACAGCTTCTGCATAGCCTGTAAATACGCTGTACCTGTAAGCACATATGGTATTATTTCCTAAAGTGAAAGGGTACATACTATTGAGAACTGGTTGGATATGGGACCAAATCACAAGACTGAGACATGAGCTATTATCGTCATGGTTACAAAATTAGAGCAGATAAATTTCTTTTAAGACCACAGAGAAGGAAAAACTTAACTTGTTTTTTCATTTAATAAGAGGGCATTCTTACTGACTGTTCACAACAGACGGATGGTGAACCCATGTCACCAAAGCAGACTTCAGCAAAGCAGTATAGAAATTAAACTTCAGTGCCTCTAAAAGGGTATTTCATTTCATTAAGAAAATGTTAAAATATAATTGTATGATGCCGCCCTCCCACTCACTTTTTCTACAATGTTATGCAGTTTTAGTAAACTGCCTCTCAGTTATGCTAATAGAAACATTTTCAAGCCAAACAAATTGTATCATTGAAATTTTTTGGAAGTGAAAATAGCTCTGTTTCAAGTTAATTTTTATTCCAAGATGGAACTTTCTTCTGTCAGTTTTGCAAGTTTGTAACTAATCAATGTAATCAAACTTCCAACATTGTTTTACCTCATTATAATGCTTCCGCGAAGGCATCTGTTGCCAGAAAACACATAAAACAAATAATAATGCCAGCAATAATAACAATTAATGTAAAAACAACTTGAATGATTCTGAGCATTTCTAACCCATTAGTTAGATTTTAGAGTGTGCACTTTCATTTCAGAGCATAAAACTACATCTGTTAATGTGAGACTGTTTAAAAAATACCTTCTCTGGGGATTTTGAAAAGATCATCTTGATTTTTAAAAGTTTTCTGTGCCCGAGAATTTTTGTAGAAAGCACCTCCTTGTGCAACTATTACTTTGTAAATTAGTTACTTTTTGCTATCTATATTAAAGAACAGAATTTCACATTCTGTGATTCACATTCACAATCATGAAAAGCTGTCTCAGCCACATGCCATTGCATGTTTTTTTCTGTGAAATGTAGTTCTTGGATAAGATGTTGGACTAAATGTGAACTGGCTTTGTCTTCTACAACTACTTTTCAGTTGGTTTGGCTTAAATATGCACTAGCTTCTGAGGAAAAAAAATGGTATATTAGAAATAAATCTTTGATATAGAAACAAGAGCTTTTAATAAAAGTATAGTGTACACCAGGGAAAGCCCTTGTGAGTGACATTAATGCTCCAATATTCATTTCTGTCTTGAAAAGCACTCTTGTTTGCATATGTGGTTGTAAATTATCGGTGATACTAGTCCCACCATCCATTGTAACTGCTTCTGAGCCTCACCTTTATTTCAGTTGCTTTAGACAGTGAAACTGTAGCATTTGTAGATCAGCTGAATAAGTAACAATACGATTAATGATACTTTTCTAAAATATTCCACAGTGACCACAAAACCAATTTCAATTAAGTGTTGTTGAAATTCCCTTTCTGCCATTCTAAATGATGTTAATAGATAAAAGTTAATTGAGGATAAGATATCATTTAATTAATTCACTATGACACTAATTTAGTGTCATATCTATTCAAAGATATACGGGGTCCATTGAAGTAGTTGTATTTGGACTACAAATGAGAAGTACAGGGAATATATGTTTAAATTTGCAAGATAATAGGCATGTTTATTTTCTCTGACTTACTAGTTGAGTGAAAAGACCCCTTTCTATCTCTGTCAGCTGTGTAGAAGAGACCTAGCACGTGCAGACATTCCTTTGTGTGGCAGAAATTATGCGTGTATGTATGTGTGTGTCCATACAGAGATAAAAATATTTCTTTTCATATTTGGTTCTCTGCAATTAAGTTATTTAGTGGACATTGATAAGGAATCTGATCCTTCCATCAAGCAAAGAACTGAAAAATACTATTGTCTAGGAAACTGTAGAGTAAGAATTTATAAATCAAAACTGTAAAGAAAAAAAATATAACTGTAAATGTACATTTTAGTGAGATTAAAAAGTATAAAATTCTCAATAAAAGTCTGTAAGCGGTGAATATTAATACATATAACTATATTAAAAGGTGCAAAAGACAGGTTTTTAGTCAAGAGGCATAAAACCCACTGCTTTACTTACCAACTTTTAATGACTGGAGAGTCATGTTGCTAATCCAACTGATACATCAGTGTGTCATGTCCTTCCTCATGATTATTACAAAAATGTAATGGGGCATCTCAGGTTCTCTGCTTTGGGTGTGAAACTGGTTGCAGTCCTCTTCATTTACAAGGAGTACGCAAAAATCCCATTTTCCTGGATAAAAAAGGAATCAGATTGGTTTTGCTCACAGCTTTAAAATCCTTGGCAAAGCAATACCTCCACAAGACTCTCTTTTGGATATTCCTATTTACCTTTTCCTAGTAGTTTATATGTCCAGGGATTTTTTTTTTTTCCTCCACTTACTTTGTGGTGTTCTCCTCTGCTTCTCTTAAACACACACTTTGTGGTTCTGCCAGAAAAATCTGTGAGTCCCTGGAAAACCTCTGTGCAGAATACTTTGGGTAATAGCCTTTTTTATTTTGGCTATTAAAAAATAAAGGGAAATTTAGCTGCTTCTTCGTTTAGAACGAACAGCATAGCGGCTGTTAGGCCCAATAACTTCAGTGTATAATCCAAAACAAACCAAGAAGTGTTCCTTATTATTGATATATTCAGTATTTATTGTGTAGGGTATAAAAGTTCTGCCTCAGCAAACAATTTTGCCTGCACTCAGTTTCAGCACAACAAAGAATTTAAGAATGTATTTAATTAAAATGTGGACATGCATTAAAAATCAAGTCTCTATTGATCTTCTTTGCTGGCCTGGCTGTCTTTGCACCATGTATGTTTTTTGATATATGTTCACAGCCAGGTACAGTCTGTCATGCAATCTACTCTAAATTGGATAGACAGTCTTTGTCCAAAATTTCTGCAGATTCTTAATATGTCACTCTT